GCTGAACCGTGTGCACATCTCATTACGTCGGTCGTCGCCTCCTCTCCTTGTAGAGCTTTGGAAGAATGGCATACCCTCAAGCCTGGCTTGCCTGAGTCAGGGCTGCAGCGCTGGGTTTGTGGGGTCAAACAGAGCTTTGTATTAAATGTGTGCCAGAACACATCTCAACACATCTGTTACCATTTCTGCACTCTTCCGGAGCTGATCTTGAGCTCCTGGGGTGTCCCCCTTTTCCATTCCCTCAAAAATGCCTACTGCCTTGGGTCAGCAGCCAGAAGGCCAGAAAGTGAAGAATGGGAATTGGGTTCTTTCACATGCTAGCAAAGGGCAGTTGGGCAGCTAATCTCAGGCTATCTGGGCTCCTAGACTCCTGCTCAATGCCCACCCTTTCCAGGAGCAGAGACAGATGGGGCTTAACCTTTCTGGATCTGGGGGAGCCTCAAATCTCAGAAGGCTTGCCCATAATGTTTACCAAGTCCAAAGAACACACCCAGAGATCCAGAAGGGGAAGACATGAATTTACTTATATAAGATAGGATGCTCTCTGACAGCTGGTGGAGAATGACAAAGCATTCCTACATCGAAGATCAATGCAGATTCCCAGTCACCAGGACAGGGGACTTATCTGTATGCATTGTTTGAGGTTTCAGTAAAAGATTAGCTATAGGGCGTGGTGGCGCCTGTCCTATGGCAAAAACCTATGGAGGCTGTAGGATTGCGGCATGGAATCCATTTCACTCTCTCTCTCTGTCTCTCTCGAGGAGCGCACGATTTTGGGGGGACCAGCAGTTAGCATAATAGCTATGTCGTTGAACTCCCATGAAGCTGACCGCAGTTTGAGTCCTGGACCCGGTGATTTAAACTCACGACAGGCGCTTGTGCGTGCATGCCCAGGATCCTGAGAGGAGAATGGAGGAGAAGGGATTGCAGCAGGGTCATTCCCCGGGGGGGTGATTTCTCGCTTTTCTGTCTCTCTGTCTCTCTGTGTCTTTCTGGTGAGTGCACACGCCCTATAGCAAAAAAAAAAAAAACCTCTCCAAAAGATTAGCTATACATGAACAGAATCAACAGAGTATGTTTAGAATTTAGTGCCCCTCATCTTGTGATGTTAATATGGGAGGGGTGCACATACCTCTGGAGTGCATAGATAGCAAAGTTATTTGGAAAAGTAACTAGCCAGGAATTGGCTAGTCTGTCTAAAGTAGGCCGTAGGCCAATTCCATGAGGCGAAAGTAATGGGCACTGGATGTCATTTCCATGAGGTGAAGGTAATGGCTGCCTGATGTTCAGGAGGCTTGAGGCCCAGCTGGACCAGCAGCTCTGTCTCAGGGACATTGCAGGGGAAGTGGAGAGGTGGGAACAGAGCGCAATGCATGGTCTCTACCCTCACCGAAAGTCACAGGCCTCCTCTCTCTTTTTTAAAAATCTATTTTATTTATTATTAATATTATTATTTTTAAAAGAATTATTTCCTTTATTTTATTTATCATTATTGTTATTTTTAATTTGACCAAAGTGAGACACAGAGAGATAGAGAAATAAAACGAGAAAACAAGGCACCAGGTCCGGGACTTAAACTGTGGTCAGCCATGTGATGTGGGAGTCCAGTACCCTCAAACACCATGCCACCTGCCAGCGTCCAGTGCCCTCAAACACCATGCCACCTGCCAGCTCCTTTTTTTTTTTTTTGAGAGATTTTTGCTATAGGGCACGTGCACTCGCCAGACAGAGAGAGACACAGAGACAGAAAGCAAGAAATCACCCCCCAGGGGGGATGGTCACGCTGCAATCCTTTCTCCTCTATTCTCTCGGGATCTTGGGCACGCACGCACACGCGCCCGGTGTGAGTTTTAAGCCACCGGGTCCAGGACGTGAACTGCGGTTGACTACGTGGAAGTCCAGCGACATAGCCATTTCGCTAACTGCTGGTTCCTTGTATATTATCTTTTAAGTTTTCTGTAGGGTATACATGCTCACCAGGGAGAGAGAGAGAAAGGGAAAGTAAGAAAGCAAGTCACCAGGTCTGGGACTCAAACCATGGCTGCCCATGTGGGAGTCCAGCACCTTAACCACCATGCCACCTGCTGGCCCCTAAGGCCTCCTCTTGACCTGTTCTTTCCCAATTCTACCTTCTCTCTGTACAATCCAATCAATTTCTAAGCCAGTGAGTCGTCTGAAATTTATTTTTAAGCACCTGCTGAGTGCCAGACACTGTCTCAAATAAGAGTGGTCGAAGGGCAGCCTGCACTTGGTTTACATTCTGCCTGATGGCAAGTTCATAAACAAGGATGCAGGCTGCAAAGGTGCTACAAAGGAAGTATGCAAAAGAGTAAACAAAGAGCCTACTTTAGAAAGAACAGCCAGGGAAGTCAACAAATGTTTGTTTATTAATTTTTTTAAAAATTGTTTTAATTGGGACCAGCAGTTGGCATAATGACTATGTCACTGGATTCTCATGTAGTCGACCACAGTTTAAGTACCGGACCCGGTGGCTTAAACTCACACCAGGCGCATGTGCGTGCGTGCCCAAGATCCCGAGAGGAGAATGGAGGAGAAGGGATTGCAGCGTGACCATCCCCTCTGGGGGGGTGATTTCTCGCTTTCTGTCTCTCTCTGTCTTTCTTGAGAGCACATGCACCCTATAGCAAAAACCTCTCCAAAAAAATTTTTTTTAATTGAATTTGCTACAAGGCATGTTTGCTCACCAGAGAGAGACACAGAGCAAGAGAAAGAGAAGGAAAGAAAGGGGGAAAATGAGAAAGCAAACCACTAGGTCTGGGACTTGAATCACTGTTGGCCATGTGGGGTTCCAACACCTCAACAACCACGCCACCTGCTGGCCCCTATTTTTTAGCTTTTTTTGCCACAGGACGTGTGCACTCGCTGGAGAGAGACAGAGAGTGATGGGGAACCAGCACCTTAACCTCCGTGCCACCTGTTGGCCCCAGCTTCTTAATTTTTAAAAAAATAATTATATATAATTTTACTTATTCTTTTTTTAGAAGTTTTTGCTATAGGGCGCGTGCGCTCACCAGAAAGACAGAGACAGAGAGACAGAAAGTGAGAAATCACCCCCCAGGAGGGATGGCCACGCCGCAATCCCTTCTCCTCCATTCTCCTTTTGGGATCTTGGGCACGCACACACACATGCCCGGCGTGAGTTTAAGCCACCGGGTCCGGGACGTGAACCATGGTTGACTACATGGGAGTCCAGTGACATAGCTATTACACTAACTGCTGGTCCCTCATTCATTTATTTTAATTTGACCAGAGAGAGAGAGACACAGAGAGCAAGAGAGGGAAAGTGAGAAAGCAAGCCACTAGGTTCGAGACTCGAACTGTAGTCGGCTGTGTGGAAGTGTCTAGCACCTTAACCACCATACCACCTGCTGCCTCTTAATTTTATAACAATGTTTAGTGAGATCCACCATGCTCTCTTTTGGCTGTGAAGACAGGCAGAAAATCTGCTACCTAAGTTTTAGAGGGCTTTTCTGGCCAGAATCCTGTGTGCTCTAAGCCTAGAAAACCATTTCTCTCCAGGAGCCCAGCTTACTAAGATAATTTCATTTTAGCTCCAACCATATGTTTCTCTTGTACACCAAAGTCCCAGGATCTGCTGCTCCCTTGCACAAAGCACAGGCCCTGTGGGGTATGGTTTAGACACCAAAATTCCACCTCTACCTCATGTGATTGCAAACTGCTTCTTTTTCAGCCTTGAAACTCTCCATCAATGCTCCAAAGGCCTCAGGCCAAACATCTACTATGGCAGCTAATCAAGACTTCCCCTCCCCAAGCAGCCTTGGCCAGAAGAAGCTGACAGATCCTTGGAGCAGGGCACGGGAGCTGGAACTCGGCCATGGAACAAGTCTTTCATTCTTTCAACAAATATTTTCCTGAGCAACCACTATGCGTCCTCCATGCTGTACCCTGGGGTGCCCCATCCCTCCAACAGGCAGAATATACTGTGATTGGTGCTCCATTAGGGAACGGGGAAGGATGGGAGACTTATGAGAGTCAGAGGTGGGATCTCACTCAACTTGGGGAATCTATGTAGGCTAAGATTACTAAATTGGGACCAGCAGGTGGCGTAATGGCTATGGTGTTGAACTCCCATGTAGTCAACTGTGGTTCGAGTCCTGGACCCGTGGCTTAAACTCACGCTGGGCGCATGTGCGTGTGTGCCCAAGATCCTGAGAGGAGAATGGAGGAGAAGGGATTGCAGCACAGCCATCTCCCCAGGGAGTGATTCTCGCTTTCTGTCTCTATTTATGGCGAGCGCATGCACCCTATAGCAAAGTTCAGAGTTGTGGGAGAAGGGTGAATGGGGTGGGAGGCTAGGTAGAAGAGTGGAGAGGCTGGACCATAACAGGCTCTGCAAGGTGTATGGAGGAGTCAGAGGTCTACTTGCCCCTGCCCCAGTTGCCCAGGTGCGGCTGGGCTTCCTGGGGGAAATGTTTTGGAACTTTGTGTGTGGAGTGGGGTCTGCCAATAAAGCCAGGGAATGGGTCTGGGAAGTGGAGAGGGCAGGACAGACTCCTAGGGAGAGATCCGAGTTGGCCCCCAGGCCTGGTTCCCTACAGCCTCCTCCCCAAAGCGGAGGAGCTCCTGTCCAGCACAAGGTGCTGAGCCTAGGACTGAGTGCCCTGCTCTTCCCAGACCTGGGATGAGGCCCTTGCCTGTGTTCCCTCTCTCTCTCTCTCTTTTTTTTTTTTTTTTTTTTTTAGAGATATTTTTTTTTTTGAGAGATATTTTTGCTATAGGGCACATGCACTTGCTGGAGAGAAAGACAGAAAGCGAGAAATCACCCCCCAGGGGGGATAGGCACAATCCCTTCTCTCCATTCTCCTCTCGGGAGTTTGGGCACACACGCACACGCGCCCGGCGTGAATTTTAAGCTGCTGAGTATAGGACGTGAACTAGGTGAGAGCCCAGCGACGTAACCATCACTCCACCCACAGGTCCCAAGGCCTTGATCTTACTGACTGATCACCGTAAGCTGGTGATGTGGTGATTGTGATCGCCGTCTTACGAGAAGATGGTGACCACGGCGAAGCCCAGTAACTGCCAAGGCAGGCATCCAAGTCTCCGCCTTGAGAGGGTGGGCAGGACCAGCAGAGAGGGTCAGGCAGAGCTGGGGAGGATAAGGAGGGTGGGGCAGGTGATTTAGGGCTGAGAGCTTCCCCTTCCTGCACCATATACAAGGGGACCTGCCAGCAGCTGGGAAGATAAGGTGATCCAGGAGGGAGGGGCTAGGGCCTGGGGAAGGCCCCTCCTCAGGCCGAACCCTCAGGTTGTGCACCTTTGTCCCTGGCTGTGGGAAATTCCCAGGACAGAGTAAGGGTGAGGGCCACAGGTGCAGGTGGGGCGCAGGATGGAAACCAGCTTGCTGGGTGCCCTGGGGAGAGCTGTCAGGGAGGAGCTCCCAGGGCCTGGCTTCCCAAGCCCTAGAACATCTTTAATTGGTCAGCAGCCCAGAATGCTCTAGGAAAGCCAGACTAGAGCTTGGGAAGAACTGCACAGCCATGGTGGAGAGGCCCTGAGGCTGGTATCTTGCCCTCCCCAGGTCATGCCCTGGGTCTCCCAGACCTGCAGGGCACACACACAGTCCTGTTCTTCCCTCCTGTGGACATCTTACTTGGAAGTGGAGGGAGAATCCAGTCAGGCCATGAGCAGGTTCCCTGACCTTGGTTCATCGGGTAACCTGACCACAAAGTGGAGGGGGACCCCATGGCTCTCAAGTGAGACGAGGGGAAGCAGGGAGCAGAAGGAAGAAGGGAAAGGAAGGAGGAAAACAAAGAGGCCTTCCTGGTTTCAAGGCCTCCCTCGTCTTACCAAGAGGAAACAGAGCCAGTCCTGTCCTCCAGGGTCGCATGGGCTAGCAGGGAAGCCTTCCTGTAACAGACCACAGACTCTCTGCAAGAGCAGAAAGGAGAAGGCTTAAAGGAGGGCCCCGGGGAAGACCATGGCAGGCTGCCCTGATGGCTTTTAGCCAAACCTTGAAGGAGCAGTTAAAAATGAGCTAGGCAGGCTGTGATGAGGGGAGCGGTGGGAATCTGAGACTGTGTATCCAGCTTTATTTATTCATTTCTTTTGGAGAGTTTTTTTTTTTTTTTTTGCTATAGGGCACGTGCGCTCCCCAGACAGACAGAGACAGAGAGACAGAAAGCGAGAAATCACCCCCCAGGGGGGATGGCCACACTGTAATCTCTTCTCCATTCTCCTCTCAGGATCTTGGGCACGCATGCACATGCACCCGGCGTGAGTTTAAGCCACCAGGTCCAGGACTCGAACTGCAGTCACCTAATGGGAGTCCAGTAACATAGCCATTACACCAATTGTTGGTCCCCTTAGGTTTTATTTCCTCTGTTTAACAGATGTAGAAATTGAGGTCCAGAAGCAGAGGTGGCCACTCAAGATCTTGGGCACTCTTGGGAGTCAGGACATCATACACACAGGACTTAGAGGGGTCTACACCCCTAGGCCAGAGCCCCAGGTCCGTGGCTGCCAACTCTGTAGCATGGGAGAGGGGAAGGACCTGGCCAGGACCCTCAGAGCCTGCCTAGAAGCCTGGCAGTGTGGCCAGTGCACAGGACTCTTGTCCCAGAGCTCAAGCCCTTGTCTAGGCACAGAGGGGCCACTTCCGGCCGCTGCAGTCCATCAGCTCTGACTTTGAATCCTGCCTCCAACACATCCTAGCTGTGTGAGCACAGGCAAGTCCTTTACTCCGGGAGCCTCATCTGTGAAATGTGATGGTCCCTACTTCACGGGTTGTGATGAGGATTCCTAAAGAATGACAGAGCAGTGCCCTGGGCACAGCGCCTGTCGGTGCTCCGAGATCAGCAGGTGGTACACTGTAAGTTTATCGTGAATCAGTCTTCTCACCTGGAGCGTGGGACACAAATCCCTGTCATCAGACATGACGGCATCTGTGTGAGCTGTGGGGTCAGTGCAGATGGCACTTCTGCCACTCCAAGGCCAGCCCAGCCCTGCAGGGGCAGGGAGACACACCCAGTTCCCAGGACAGGGAAGCTGGGTGACAGCCTCAATCCATCAATGCTTATCTCAGTCCAGCCTAACTTTATGGACCCAGGAGGTACTTAAATGTGTGGGGGGTGAGGGTGAGCCCAGTTCTTCCTCCATGCAGGCTGCTGCCCAGAGCAGGTAGGCAGGTATGGGGTGGGCATGGCAGTGTCCTGAGCCAGGGAAGACGAGCTAATCACCTTCCAGAACAAGGTCTCAAAGAACAGTGGTGGGTTAGAGCCGGGGCTGGTTACCTCTGGCCCTGCGGGTTGAAGAAGAGCTTGGGGGACCAGCAGTTGGTGTAATGGCTATGTCGCTGGACTCCCACGTAATTGACTGCGGTTCGAGTCCCGGACCCGGTGGCTTAAACTCATGCTGGATGTGTGTGTGTGTGTGTGTGCCCAAGATCCTGAGAGGAGAATGGAGAAGGGATTGCGATGTGGCCATCCCCCCAAGGGGGGAGAGGACGCGCCCTAAAGCAAAAACCTTTCCCAAAAAAAAGAGATTGGAAGGCTGGTGTATGAGGGGGAGTAGGTCTCAGCTCCTCCTGGCCCACCTCCATGCTGCTTCACCCCTGCATGCCTGTTGAGTTCTGCAGGGACTGGAGTGTGCTGTCCACTCTGCAGCTGCGGACCCCCATCAGCGGACGAGGTCAGCGTGCTGTGTGTGTGACCAGACATGAAGGGAGGTGGCCTGGAAAACACAGCGTGGTGACAGAAGGGCAAGCTGAGGAGAGGGCCAGCTCTGGGGCAGCTCTGTGAACTTCTGCCCCAGGACCACAGCCATGACTGTTTCGTACACCCTCAAAGTGGCAGAGGCCCGCTTTGGAGGCTTCTCCAGCCTGCTGCTCCGCTGGAGGGGCAGCATCTACAAGCTCCTCTACAAGGAGTTCCTACTCTTTGCCGCTCTGTATGCCAGCCTCAGTGTCACCTACCGGTGAGGGCAGGTCTCAGGGCCGGCCGGTGGGGGACCAGGCACGCACCTCCCCCTCACCTGGCCTACACCTGACCGTCCCAGGTTGCTGCTGACCCAGGAGCAGAGGCACGTGTATGCCCAGGTGGCCCGATACTGCAACCGCTCGGCCGAGCTCATCCCCTTGTCCTTTGTGCTGGGTAAAGTCCCTTCCTGCTCCCCAGGGTGACCTCCTTACCTTCTGGCCTAAACTTTGTGTGGGGTGGGCAGCTCTGAGGGTCAGAATAACCCCTGTGGGATAGCCTGGAGGTGGGCACAGGGGCTGGGGCTGGGACTTCTGGAGAGCTGGGCTCTACCCAACACTTCCGGGGCCTCCACTCCAAACAAGGCGCCAGGCACCTGCTGGCCTCACGGCCCCACTCTGGGTACCACAGCGGAGAGAGAGACTCCAAGCAGGTCTCAGAGTTACCATTACCTGGCTTGAACCTCCACTTCCACTCCGCTCAAGGAAGTTTGCTCCTCCCTCCTCCTGGCCAAACACAGGGTGCCATGGGACCAAAGGAAGAGGCTGCCCTAGAGCCCGGTGTGTCCTTCCAACTTGGCCTGGGGCCAGGCGCTCTCACCCCAGGCCTTCCACCCTCCCTCCCATCCCCACTGTCCATGGCGCTGACCAGGTTTCTACGTGACTCTGGTGGTGAACCGCTGGTGGTCTCAGTACACAAGCATCCCTCTGCCGGATCAGCTGATGTGCGTCATCTCGGCCAGCGTCCACGGCCAGGACCAGCGGGGCCGCCTGCTACGCCGCACCCTCATCCGCTACGCCAACCTGGCTTCCGTGCTGGTGCTGCGCTCCGTCAGCACCCGCGTGCTCAAGCGCTTCCCCACCATGGAGCACGTGGTGGATGCAGGTGCGCAGCACGCGGGGAGCCCTGGGGGCCGGGTTTAAGGCCGGATGCAGATGTTGCTTTGGAACAGGGCTGGGGCCTGGGCCTTCCCGGAAAGGGAGGTCCGACCTCCAGGGGGCGCTCCGGGGCCCCAGAGCGACAAGCCAGTAGGACCAGGAGGGCAGCCACGTGGTGGAACAGCAGCTTCCCCTGGCGGCAGAGGATGCACGTGCACCCACCCACGTTACCCCTCTAGGTTTCATGTCCCAGGAAGAGAGAAAAAAGTTTGAGAGCCTGAAATCCGACTTCAACAAATACTGGGTGCCCTGCGTCTGGTTCACCAACCTGGCGGCCCAGGCCCGGAGGGAGGGGCGCGTCCGTGATGACATCGCTCTCTGCCTACTTCTGGAAGTGAGTCAGCCCAGGCCGCCTCCCTCTAGCTTTTCAAATGAATGATAATTTTAGGCTTACTATTTATATGGAGCCAACTATGTACCATGCACGTTAGGAAGTGCTGTACCCATATTAAGTCATTTCACCCTGACGGTAACAGTTCAGATAGGTACTTTCATCATTCCGCTTTCATGCACAAGGAAACTGAGGCACACGTGAAAAAACCCAAATCACACAGCTAGTTAGTGGAGCTGGGATTTTTTTTTTTTTTTTTTTTTTTTTTTTAAGATTTTGGCCATAGTGGGAGCCAGAGGTGGAGTGGTGACTAAGGCTCTGGACTCCCAGATGGCCAACTGCGGTTCCAATACGAGACCTGGTGACTTGAAAATCATGCTGGGTGTATGTGCGTGCCAAGAAAAAGATTTTTGCCATTGGGTGTGTAAGAAGAGACAGAAAGAGAAAGGGAGGGAAAATGAGAAATCACCACCCAGGGAGGATGGCCCTGCTTCAATCCCTTCTCTTTCACTCTCCCTTAGCGATTTCGGGCATGCACACACTGCTCAGTGTGTTTTCCAAGCCACTGAATCAGGGCTCCAAACACAGCCTCGCCCATGTAGCATGCTAAATTGCTTTCCATAACAGGCACCCCAGTCTGATAACTCCTCCAAGAGCAGAATGAGCCTTCAGGACCGGGCCAGGCCTAGTCTGAGCATGGGCTGGGGGGTGGGAAGTGCTGGGGGCTGTTTTCTCCCCACTCTTCCTCTCTCACTTCCGCTGACTTGCCCTTCCTGCTGTTCCACCAGGAGCTGAACAAGTACCGTGGCAAGTGCAGCATGCTGTTCCACTATGACTGGATCAGTATCCCCCTCGTCTACACCCAAGTAACTGCCTCTCACCTCCCCAGCCCCAGTGCCTACTGAATTGTTCCCTGCAGTGTGAGATACTAAGAAGAGATGGTACTTGCCCTGGGCCAACTTAGTGCTGTGAGGCACTGGACAGCCAAGGGCTCATCCTCAAAGCCTTCCTCCACCCAACCCGGCTGTCCCTACCCCACTATGCTGCCATGTCCTGCCACAGGAATTTCTCTTTGGACTTCCTACAGGTCCTCAGCGGCAGGAGCAGCATTTCTCCCCACCCCTGCCCCACACTCTGAGCTGGCTCTCCCTTTCCAGGTGGTGACCATAGCCGTGTACTCCTTCTTTGGCCTCTCCCTGGTTGGCCTCCAGTCTGTGGAGCCAGAGGCGGGGGCTGCCAACAGTCCAGAGCTTCTGGAGCCGGGGCCAGCCGTGGGAGACCTGGACATGTACGTGCCTCTCACCACTCTGCTGCAGTTCTTCTTCTATGCTGGCTGGCTCAAGGTGGGCATTTCAGATGGTCATGCCAGCATGCTCTGTAGAGAGGTGGGTAAAGGGCCCGCCAGCTTTGGGGACAGAAAATGGGCCTGAGGCCAGAAAACACTGCAACCTGCAGGTGGCTGAACAGATCATCAACCCCTTTGGTGAGGATGATGATGACTTTGAGACCAACCAGCTCATAGACCGCAACCTGCAGGTGAGCGGATCAGGTCCTTGGCTCCCTCTCCCTGCCCACTCTCAGCCTGGGTGTGGAGAGAGGAAAGGGGAGGAGAGGAGGATCCTGCGGCCTGCTGCCCACCCCTCTGCTGGCCCAGGTGTCCCTGCTGTCTGTGGACGACATGTACCAGAATCTGCCCCCCGCCGAGAAGGACCCATACTGGGACGAGGACCAGCCGCAGCCGCCATACACTGTGGCCACAGCGGCCGAGTCGCTGCGGCCCTCCTTCCTGGGCTCCACCTTCAACCTGCGGTGAGTGGCCAGCGCTGG